GCCTGTGGTCCCAGCTACTCAGGAGGCAGAGGCAAGAGAATTGCCTAAGCCCAAGAGTTGGAAGTTGGTTGAGGTGTGACGCTGACGGTGACGAAGTGAAACTGTCTCTAAAAAAAAAAGAAGAGTTGTTTGCAAGTGGCAAAACAGAGGTAATATGGATGATAGACTTTTTGACATAAGTATATTCACAAATTTTCTCTTCAGCTTGAAATAGTTCCATTTCAGGCAGATGGAAGTGACAGTGTAATATAGGTGATTTTTCATAGTCTCGTTTCTTGCATCATTTCCTAATACACAGCTCCTTCCTAGGAAAGCAAGAAAAGAGTGAAAATTGAACCTATGGATCTGGCATTCTAGTCTGAGAAACAGACTACCATCTTCCCCAAGTGAATGTATCAGTGGGATGATACATTCAAAGTGCTTAAAAAATAAACACATCTCAAGCAAGAATACATTGTTTAGTGACATTCTCTTGCAGAAATGAAAAATAAGTTTTAGTCTTTCCCAAAGAAAAAGCTGAATCACTAGTAGTAAAGACGTGAGGTATAGAAATGGAAACATGAGTCTTTCAGTATAAAAAAGGGGATCCTACTCAGTAACTCTAACCCTTAAGAAAATATGAAGTTCTCCATTAAAGAGTAATAAATGATCATATATACAAATATGTAGTACTGTGCTTTTTGCTCTAGTTCTATATCAAATGCTTTTCTATCATTTCAAGACAAAATCAGGAATTAAGTATTATACTACATATATATACAAATGACAAGAAAATATACATAGAATTAATTCCTTCAGTAATTCCTTCCTACAGCTATAACACAAAGTGAGAGGAGTGTTTGGGGGCCAAATTTTAACCTGTTAATATTTAAAACAGAATGCTATGAATTTATGATGTTGTGTGTAACTGTAATGGCGAGTACACAAAAATTCTATACAACATATACAAAAAAGAAAAAAAATGAAATGAGAATGAAAGCATGTGATTACCAAATAATCAACAACACACAGAAGAGGTCAGTAAGAGAGAAATGAAGGACAAAGCTAGAAGATGGCACATGTGCTACAGATAGCACATGACACAATGGCAGTAGAACGGCCTTCCGTATAACCAGTTACATTAAAGGGTTTAGCTTTGCAATCAGAAGAAAACAGGTTGCAAGTAAACCCTGTCCAGAAGAGACTACTTTGAATTGTGAAGACATATAGGCTGAAATGGAAAGGATGCCAAAAGATATTCCACA